CTAAACCCTAAGCCCTAAACCCAATTGCGCCACGGCCTGCAGGCAGCTAGCAGCACCAACCTTCCCCCACTGACTGTTCATGCAGCAATTCCTGCATTTGCCCGATGCACGGAAATTGGCTTTTCTGGGAGATTGCAAAATTTTTCTTGCACCGATCAAAAATCGGATATGTAGATTTTTCTCGACTTTCACGGTCGGAGTTGGGAAGCCAGGAGTCCCTATCAGTTCCCTGGATAGAGGTGCTGCGAGCTTCGAATGAACTTGGTGCTCGGCTGTCTTGCGCAGCAGTTGCCTCGTCCTGTGAAGGCCGACGACGTCCATCGGGCCAGGCTTCTCTGCTCGAAGAAAAGGCCAGGTTGTGGGAGAACTTCGAAAGTAAGTCTTCCCGGCATCATGCGGCATTGGCAAAGCAGCTGCGACACGGCACGATGGCCAAGATTCGTTAGAGTGTAGAGCCTGGTCGATACTGCTTGAAGGGACTAATTATGACCCACCTTTTGCTTTATTACTTGTTGATCAGGTGTCTAATTACCCCTTGGCCGTTTCGTGTGAAATGATGGGTCGATTTCTGTTTTTTTGCGCAGCCGGCGGGCTCAGGGCTGCAGCCTGCTCCGAGTGGAATTCCGATGTTCAATGGCCAAGGAGGTGTGCGAGAGAAAGGTCCCGGGAATTTCGATGCATGGGGGCCGGGTCCCGAAATTCAAAAGTGCCGGGAGAGGCGGCAGCAAGCTGGTTGCGGCGCTGCTCTGTGGACTCTTTCTGCGGATGTTTTGCTCAACTGCCCTCTTCTTACACCGGCCGTTCAGAGGGCAGACGCCGCCAAGGACCTGCGAGCACGAGGATAGCATCGGGGGATGCGCATGAGAGCCACAAGCTTCTTCCCATGCTCGAATCACTTGCGTCGAAGTTTGTCTGAGGACGAGGCGCCCCGCAGCTGCGAGCTCCGACGAGAGCAACCCGGCTCGGTAATGCTTCGCAGTGAAAGTTAGCCTAAGATTTACAGGCCGTCTTGGAATCTTCAGCTGCCGCTCGGGTGCACCATGAATTTATGAGACTGTCTCCCTCGCTCTCTGTCTCTCAGTTTCTATTTCTCGTTCTCATTAGTTTAACACGTATATAATTATAAGCATCGTATGCAGGCATACATGTCTGCATGGATGCATGCTTGTATCCATTCATGTGCAGCAGTACACGTCAGTTCCGGCCGGCAACTGTAAGGCCAGCCATGAGACCTCACAGTGGTAGTGGCTATTGAGCCTGAGGCACATGACCTTGGCTTAATAAATGTAGATGATAAGGGTGAGTTCTGTACCTTTCGCGTATCCTCGCAACGGAACTAGAGCAGCTGAATATAGATTGTCGCCGAGTAGCATAGCATCTGAATATAGATTGTAAGAGTACCCCTTGATTGACCCTAAACCCGAATCCCTAGAAACCCTGAAGGGCCTGTCATTTCTCCCCATAGAGGGCACGGAAAGCGCGGGCAGAGGTCGCGATGCGGCCTTCATCGAAAGGCTCCAGGGCCTGGCCCGCGAGGTGCGCGGCACTGGAAACATGTCTTTTCTTGTGGTGGGGCTCTGTCATACCAGTTCTTTTCCTATCATCATTCGTTCTACTTTTCTGATATTACTATCCATTTTGCTACTAGGACAATTCCCGGAAGCGCTTGTGCACTGTGGTGCGTGGGTAGCTGTAAGGTTTGAGCCAGCCATGACGAGAGCTTCAGCTGGGTTGTGAAAGTCTGTCTGGACGGCATGTTCCGAGTTGACTGAGGCAGCAGCCTTGGGATTCGTTAGGCCAACTGAGCTGCCAACCCGAAGTCGCAGGCTTTGGCGTGGCCGTTCCTGGGGGATGAGCAGCGACTGGTCTGGGCCGCCGTGCTGCAGTTCGACGCCGTGCCCACCCAGGAGTGAGTAGGGGAAGCGTAAAGCTGCGAGCGGATTGGATCGTTCTGTGCGGAAGGAGTTGCCTCCCTGGTTCTTCGAGCGGCACAACTTCACACGTCGGCGCCTAGGCCTGCTGTAGCTCTGATGTCCCAAACCTTCCTGCCATGTTCCCGCGCAGCTGCTCCTCCCCTGTTGATGGAAGGAGTGGACCTCTTCAGCTTGGACGGCCAGCAGGCGATTCTTTGCCGGGCCGGGAAGTCCACGGGCAAAGATGTGAAGCGGTTCCTGCGAACGGCCAACTGTCTCGTTGAGGCGGGTGAGAAGTGCACTGCCAGCCGGAAAGGTAGCTGTATGCCCAGGTCCCGGGGGCCCAGCAAGATGCATGAAACGTGCTGCCTGCACGCAGGCTCCTTGCTGTACACTCTGGACGGACCGCGGCTGCAACGTCTCTGCCGACTCCCAAAGGTGGCTGAATGAATACGGCGGTCAGCGGAAGATCCTGACCAAGAAGAGATTGCGCCAGCTGTGCTGCGACACTGCCGCTTCAGTCCTGACATTTGGTCAGGCTTTAGCTGAACGGTTGTCGGACCCACCGCTGCGGCCTTGCCAGGAGGCGTGCCTGAAGGCGTGTGCCAAGGGAGCCCGGGTCATCGAGATGGCTTGCGGCACCGGGAAGACGCGTGTCATCCGCGAGCTGGCAACCAAGCAGACAGGGAAGGCACGAAGGGAGCACTCGTCATGTTCATACTTTCAGTGCCAGCGGCATGACATCCTCCAGCTTTCGCATGCAGGTCTTGGTCACGGTCCCATCACGTGTGCTTCTGGAGCAATTCGCCGAGGAGTTGCCGGGCTTGTGCAAGGTAGGCACCGGCTACAACCACAAGATCGACTTTTCAGGCAGAGGTTTCATTTCAGTGACTGACTCGGTGCAGCTGCTGACGAAGCTGACGTTCGAGGCGTGTTTTGTCGATGAAGGCCATCACCCTTTGCCACAAGGAATGCCGAGCTGCAGAGATCTTTTTAAGTTCTCGGCCACGCATAAGGAGGACGTGGATTTTCGGTACAGTTTGGGCGAAGCGATCGAGCAGGGCGTGCTGTCTGACTATGACTTGACGGTGCCCGTGACGACCGAAGGCCATCCATACATCTGCCTCGCGAACTTGCTTCTGTCGCAGGCTGGGCGCTTTCGCCGTGTGCTGGCGTACTGCAACTCCATTGCGAAAGCCAGGCGATTCCAGCAGGTGTTGGAGACCATCGGCCTAGCGGCGTGGCACATAAACGGGGAAACCAGCAGTAAAGAGCGAGAGCGGGTGATGAACGAGTTCTCGGGTGACCTGCAGACGCCCGTGCATGTGCTGGTAACTGTCCAGGTCCTCGGCGAGGGCGTTAACATTCCGTTTGCCGACACCTGCATGTTTGTGGAGCCACGCAGTAGCTATGTCAGCATCGTTCAAGCAATCGGTCGTGTACTGCGGCCTCATCCGTCGAAGCCCATGGCTCACATCGTGTTGCCTGCGATTGCACTGCCGGCGACGACGAACAGAGCTGCAATGGCTCCGCCTGGTTTCAGCCATCTGACAGGGGGTGCCCAGTCCGTAGCTGGCACGGCGGGCGCCGTGGAGCATGTCCAGTCCCCGGAATCAGATGGCATGCAGCCGGACCATCACGGCAGTGTTGACGCGCCACTTGTTCTGGCAGCCTTGGGTGCCGCAGCCAGGAACGGCGCCAAGAACTCTCGCGGTCGTCAGCTGACCAACCAACCGCAGGAAACAGCAACGCACGATGGCAGTGATGGGGTGCCCGCTGCTGCGTTGGAAGCGTCCAGCGGAACTTCCCGCCTACGGACGAACGCGAACGACCACCACGAGACAGAGCGTGTCCGATGCCAATCGTGGCTACCGCAGCAAGACGACTTGGGCAGCTTGAGTGCATCTGCAGCACGGATACCTGAAAGCACGACGGCCTTAGAGGCCGCGGGCAAGATGATGAAGCCGACGAAGGCTTCATGGGATGCTGCAGCAGGGGGCAGGTTTGGAGGAGCCCGAAGACCAAGCGCCCCTGCGCAGAACAACCTAATAGAAAGAGGAGCAGGGCCTGCGTCTGCAGGGCTCCGAGCTGAGGGTCGCAGGGATCCTAGTCCTAGTGGGCCGAGGGCGATGACTGACCGCCGGTGGTCGAATGATGAAGAGGCTGGGCTTCAAACTCATCCTGCACAGCCTACATCTGTGACGCCGCCCGCCACAGTCTCTCAGCAGGAGGTACTCCTCATGCAGATGGGAAGTGCTTCACGGCAGCTGCCTGTGGCAAGTGCTACTGCCTTGCAGGCTGTGCCCGGCAACAAGCCTGCCGAAGTGGTGCCTCGACAGCATGGCACCGGTCCGGAACCGTCCGTGGAATTAGAAGAGAATTCGAGAAGTTTGCCGCACCGTCGAGCCTCCAAGCTGAAGGCGAAGCGTGGAGATGTCGCTGAGATGTTTGGAAACGGCCATGCAGACCAGCTGGACCGATTTTTAGAGGCGATAGCTCAGGCGGACAGTCGGTTTGCCAACAAGGACATCACGGTGTTGCAGTCTCGTCTTTGGGTGACGGACTGCAGGCTGCAGCAGCCAGCCATGCCGCAGCTACTTGCTCGAGATGTGCTGTACCAGCTTGCATTGATCCTGCAGCAGCGCGATGCATTCGATCTGCGCTTGCAAGCGGTCGAGAAGTTCGACCAAGCTCACGGAAGGCTGCCGAGGCAGCGAGGCAAGCAGCTTGAGGAGAGAACTCTGGGACACTGGCTGCACAATGTTGGCTGCAGGCAGAAGCAGCAGAAGCTCCCAGCCGAAAGGATGCAGATGCTGGTGAACTCGTCATGTAGCAGGCTGAGAGCCCGAGCTGCAACGTGGCTGGAGCCAGATGCGCATTTCAAGCCATGGTTGGAGGAGTTGCGGCAGTTCGTTCATCTGCATCACCGCATGCCCGACTACAGCAAGGCACGTCCAAGAGCCGAGCAGCGATTGATCAGAAGCGTGCGGAAACTTGTGGATCCTACCCGCAGGAACATCGCGAGCCGCCTGCAGCTGTTGGAGAAAGCCGGCCCAATCGTTGCGGATTGGGTGAAGTCCAGGCGAACAAGGAAGGTCCGAGTCAACGAGGTGCGGTGGAATCGCCAGTGCGACAGGCTCGTGAGATTCGTGGAGGTGAATGCAAAGCTGCCACAACAAAGGTTCGAACGAGGTCTCTATAATTGGTTATGCCTACAGCGGGGACAGCTGAATCGCCTCCCGGACCCACTCCAGGCAAAGTTGCTTGACGGTCATCCATTAATCGCAGCTTTCCTGCAGAGCTGAGTCGAGCTCAGCCTTGGGAGAAGTTGCGACTGAAGCTGCGATAACAGATTGCAGTTCGCTGTCTCCAGAAGGCTTTGTGTTGACGGTGTCAGGGAGCTTGCATGATGCTCTTGCAAAAGTCTTTGCTGACTTGGACCCATGATGATCGATGCCAGAAAGCCGCTGCATAGTATGGCTGAGCCATGTTAAGCCCGCACATGACGTAGCCGTAGTTCCCACAACGGCTTTAGGGTGCTTTGGGCAGTTTTCAGTTTGGCATCTGGCAGCGCCTGGGAGAAGTACTGAGTCAAAGTACTGCTTTGATCAGGTTCCCTAAAGCATCTTTCGGGTTGTCATGGTACCGCCACAAGGGATATAATTGAAAGCGTTCCCTCTGAAAAGACAAGGCGTGCCGTGGGCGAGACGACATTAGTGTTAGTGCCTTTGATGCTGCATTTCTGTTGCTCAGCTTGCCCACACCTTTCAGTGCTGCTGCTCGGCAGGTAGAAATCATCCTCGACCCCGGCTCCGGGCAGCAGGCGGATTCAAGGCCGGGTTCGAGGATGTTCCTGCAAGCAGAAGCTACAGCCTAATCAGACGAAACGGCGTGGAGATTTCTATTTGTGCTTGGTGCTCCTGGTGGTTTCTTCTGCTTGGTGGTGTCGTCGTCGTCCCCTCAGGTCTCCTGCTTGTCGTGGTCGTCAAATTACGTAAGGGTTCCTACAAGCCCCAAATATCATTCACCTACTTACCAAGTCACTGAACACTCTAAGTAGGACTCTTGGATATGGAGAATTCGGGTTTTGGATTTAGATACCCAGCGTTGATTTTTGTTCTAATCTTTCAAATCTGGTGGGGCCATCGTGTTGTGCTGGTGACTTTGTCAGGTCGTCAGAGGTTTAGTGTCGGATGGCAAGGCTGAGGCATACCCGGACGGTTTGCACTTTTTGGTGAAGCCTTGCCGTACTGTCTGCCGTTTTGCACATCTGCAAAACCATGCTTGCAAGCAGCGGGTTATCATCCCACGTCTGGCACGCTTAAGGTGCAAGCCTGCTTGCCAGCGGATTAACGGGTTAGAGGCCGTTATAGACCTCACCAAGAGCTCAGAAACTTCTTACAGCCTGTGGCAAAACCCGTACACAGCTCATTTCGAACCTTCGAGGTAGGGCCAACCAGTACTACTGGATGAGAGGCCCGGGTGCAAGGTTTTACTTCAAGGAAGTTTCAGGATTTCGAGCGTAGTGTTTGTTGTGTTTATTGGATTTGCCGTGTAGGAGTCTTTGGGTTCGGGGTTTTAGGGTTGTTTGGGGTGTTGGGTTTGAAGCTGGGGTTTTTAGGGTCAGCTTTTCCTGGAGTTTTGTCAGAATGTGGGGACAGGGTGCAGGCTTGAAGATTCATGTGCGGTTCAAGATGGAGTTTGTCAGGCATCGAAAGGTCGTCGCGTGGAATCGCTGGAAAGCACCCCCAACCTTCAATGCATTTCTATAGCGGCTCCTTGCGTTACTATGGCCGTTTTCTTAGAGAGTTCAACACCCGAAATCGGTCTACACATGAGGTGAGAGAGGGTTCCTGTCATGATGTAGGGTTTGTTCTTTACTTACAGGAACTTGTTCTCGCTGGGATCCTCGTCGGCAGCTGCCCCATAAGCCGAGCTATGGTTCTTAGCAAGTACAACAAGTTCTACGAAGTTGGAGCATGGGATGATAAGTGCTCGGATTCTCAAGGTTGCTCCTTAGGTCACGAGGAGGATGATGTTGCAACTTTCTGGTTGCTACTTTAGGACGATTAATGGGGCAGGCCGCTTGAATGAGGGTTAAGTTTGAGTTTCAGACGAAGTGGCAACAACAGCGATCTGGTCCTCAGGTAAGGAGTGGGAGCTTGCTGCGTTGAAGCTTTGGGGTGCTCAGAACAAATATTCACGGAGTAACGGCACGAAGCCTCCGCTTTTTGACGGCAGGAGACGAAGACCGAGCCACTCCGTCGCTTGAGTCATACTTCCATCCCTGAAGAGGCGGCCTGTCATCAAGCCTCCCATCGAGTAATCCTCCCTAAAAGCACGTTAGCATGTTGAAAGAATGCCTTGCCTTACAAGCTAAGGGTTATGATCGAGACTCTAATGTTAGGGCCTTTGAACGAACGGATTTGTTTGTCAGGATTTCACATTAGGCCTCAGGGTTTCGAGTGGTTGGCTTCTCCGTCAGGTCCCTTGGTATGGTCCCTAGCCCTCTGAAATGAATGGAACAGCACGGTAGATTCGCTTTCGATTTGCAAAAAATTCTTCTGGTGTTTCTCCGGGGTCGGGCAATGGCGGCGGCGATGGTGCACTGGGTGGAAGTCCCTCTCTTCTTTCGCTTCTGTGGACAGCCCAGATTGGGCGTAGGCACGGCGTAGGTTCCAGGTCCGAGTTGTGGAACCGCAAAGGCTTTGTCAGATTTCTACTCGTAGAACTGTGCCGAAGCCAGAGTGAACTTGCCTTTGCGGCTGGTCGGTGTTTTGCTGTCTTGTGACACCGTTGCATCCGCTGTAGGGGCGACGACCGCCCCACCGGCCCAAGCTTTGCAGTGGATGCTGAAACGAAGACTAGGCCAGGTCGTGGGAGAGTGCTTCAGGGGTCAGGGAGTTTAGTAAGCGTATCATATAAAAGGGGGACGTAGGTAGGACAACCCACTGACAGTATCTATCGCCGGGCTTCACCAAGGTCGACTTCTCAAAGCTGCGACACAGCTCGATGGCCAACACTCACCATACTGAGAATGCATCAAGGGCCTCATTATTCGATCCACTTTACGCTTCCCAATTACCCTAATGATCAGGTGCCCACATTGGCCAATTCATGTCTGCAGCTCGCCGATTTCTGGGTTTTTTTCCGCAGCCGGCGGGCTCAGGGCTGCAGCCTGCTCCGAGTGGAGTTCCGATGTTCAGCGGCCAGGGAGGTTTGCGCTTGAAACAGCTTCTTGCAGCCAGCAGGGGATGCAGGGGGCCCGGTTGCCAAAATTCAAAAGGGCCAGCAGAGGCGGCAGAAAACTGGTTGCGGCGCTGCTTTGTGGACTCTTTCTGCGGATGCTGCTGGCCACTGCCCTGTTCGTGCAGCGGCCGGTCTTCAGAGGGCAGAAGCCCTCAAGGACCTGCGAGCACTAGGATGGCCTAGGGCCTAGGGAACGTAAGGGATTCGAGGAGTGAGTATAAGAGCTACCAGCCGCTTCCTACAGATCTTGTCTGCCGTGGGGTCCCATAGTCGGACCACTTGTGTCGAAGTTTGTCGGAGGACGAGGCGTCCCGCAGCTGCCAGCTCCGACGAGAGTAACCCGGCATCGTAAAGTTTCGGAGTCAAGCTTGGAGTTTTAGAGGCATTTTTGGGGTCTCAGGTTAAAGGTTTTTGCACCCACAAAAACACAGTATCCCTAACCACATGACATTGACCTAGAGACCGCAGATGATGAGGGTGCCTCAGGTTCCCTGAATGTGTCCTCATCAAGGAACTAAACACCCTTTTGGAATTCCTAACGTCTTAATATCGATTAGAGGTGCTGTTCATCTACCAAGCCCTAAACCCAAAACCCTGGACCCGAAAACCCCAAACCCTGATCCCCAAAAAAACAACGAGCATGCATACATTTGTCAACCTTATGCTGAAGGCATAAGGCTATCGTCTTGAGACTTTAATTAATAATTAGATGCAGTTGTACGCCCCAAAGCAGACCTCGGTGTGAACATAGATCTCTGCAATTCGAGAGGGAAAAAAACATGTTTCATATGTCCCCACAAAGAACACCGAAAACCCTAGAAAGCTGAGCGTACCTACGATGCAACACTAGAATCACTAGAAGGTAGGAGCCGCAGTAGCAGAGGTCGCGATGCCGCCTTCATGGAAAGGCTTCAGGGACTGGCCCGCGAGGTGTGCCGCTGGAAACATGTTTGCTTTGTTGTTTTTGGAGGGTTTAGGGCTTAGGGTATACGGTTTTGGGATTAGGGTTAGTTTGTCATGCTGCTTTTTGTTTTCAGCGTCGTATCATCATGAGGTCTACCCATGTTATTCGACGTTGCAATCAATGTTGAAGGGTTTGGTTGCTGATCTCAATATCGATATTGCATTGTTGCCGGAAGCCAGGAGCTTGCATAATACTGTCGTGCGTGGGCAGCTGTAAGGCTTGATCTAGTCATCAGGAGAGCTTTAGCTGGGCTATGAGCGGCTATGACTCCAAGTTTGTTTGGACAACGTATTTTGACTTGACTGATGCGGCAAACTTGACATGCTGGGCCAATCCGAACTCGCAGGCTTTGGCGTGGCCGTTCCTCGAGGATGCGCAGCGACTGGTCTGGGCCGCGGTGCTGGAGTTCGACGCCGTGCCCACGCCGGAGTGACGAGGGGTAGCTTGAAGCTTCAATTTGATTGATGATTATTTCTTAGAAAGGTCGAATCCGGAATTGAGCTTTGACAGATTTCATGCAGAAAGGAGTTGCCTCCCTGGTTCTTCGAGCGGCACAACTTCACGCGTCGGCGAGTAGGCCTGGTGCGGGGGGAACGGGCTACGGCTACGGTGCTTTGGAGTCCATGTTCACTTGCAGCCGCTCCTCCTCTGTTGGTGGAAGGAGTGGACCTCTTCAGCTTGGACGGCCAGCAGGCGATTCTTTGCCGGGCCGGGAATTCGACCGGCAAAGATGTGAAGCGGTTCCTGCGAACGGCCAATTGTGTCCTTGAGGCGGGTGAGCCGGAGAGGTAGCTGTACGGCCCAGGTCACGGGCGCCCAGCAAGGTGCCTGAAACCTGTTACGTGCACGCAGGCTCCTTGCTGTACACTCTGGACGGACCGCGGCTGCAACGTCTCTGCCGACTCCCAAAGGTGGCTGCGTGAATATGGCGGTCAGCGGAAGATCCTGACCAAGAAGAGATTGCGCCAGCTGTGCTGCGACACTGCCACTTCAGTCCTGACATCTGGTCAGGCTTTAGCTGAACAGTTGTCGGACCCACCGCTGCGGCCTTGCCAGGAGGCGTGCCTGGAGGCGTGTGCCAAGGGAGCCCGGGTCATCGAGATGGCTTGCGGCACCGGGAAGACGCGTGTCATCCGCGAGCTGGCAACCAAGCAGACAGGGAAGGCACGAAGGGAGCACTCGTCATGTTCATACTTTCAGTGCCAGCGGCATGACATCCTGCAGCTTTCGCATACAGGTCTTGGTCACGGTCCCATCACGTGTGCTTCTGGAGCAGTTCGCCGAGGAGTTGCCGGGCTTCTGCAGGGTAGGCACCGGCTACAACAGCAAGATCGACTTTTCATCAAGAGGTTATATTTCCGTGACTGACTCGGTGCAGCTGTTGGAGAACCTCGAGTTCGAGGCCATTTACATCGACGAGGCCCACCACCCTTTGCCACAAGGATTTCCGAGCTGCAGAGACATCTTCAAGTTCTCGGCCACGCATCAAGAGCAAGTGGACTTTCGCTACAGCCTAGGTGAAGCGATCGAGCAGGGGGTGCTGTCTGACTACGACTTGACGGTGCCCGTGACGACCGAAGCCCACCCTTACATCTGCCTCGCGAACTTGCTTCTGTCGCAGGCAGGGCGATTTCGCCGTGTGCTGGCGTACTGCAACTCTATAGCAGAAGCCAAGCGATTCCGGCAGGTGTTGGAGACCGTCGGACTAGCGGCGTGGCACATCATTGGGAAAAACAGCAGTAAAGAGCGAGAGAGGGTGATGAAAGAGTTCTCGGGCGACCTGCAGACGCCCGTGCATGTGCTGGTGACGGTTCAGGTCCTGGGCGAGGGTGTGAATATCCCGAATGCCGACACCTGCATGTTCGTGGAGCCACGCAGCAGCTATGTGAGCATCATCCAAGCCATGGGCCGGGTGCTGCGGCCTCATCTGTCGAAGCCCTTGGCTCACATCGTGTTGCCTGCGATTGCACTGCCGGCGACGACGAACAGAGCTGCAATGGCTCCGCCTGGTTTGAGCCATCTGGCAGGGGGTACCCAGTCAATGCTGCGAACAAGTGGCTCTGAGGAGCATGTCCTGTCCTCGGAAGAGGCCATGTTGCCAAAGGCGCGGCGGGCCGAACCGCCACAAAACGAGCTTTTGGCCAGTGGCGACGGGCCCCAGACAGCCCTGCTCCTGGCCGACGGCTGCGCGGATTGTCGTGTTGACTCGATTTCGCCAACGCAACGGCCTGAAGTAGGCCTCAAGGACAGGAGTCAAGGCAGCAATGCCAACAGGCCGAGGCCATGTGATCCCAGGTCCCATAACAAAACCCCGACAACTGGCGACCACCAGGGTGCTGAACTTGGACGTCCTGAGCGGCTTGAGCCTTCGATTCCAATCGAAACAGTCTCTAATGAGGATGCCCTGATAGTGCCGATCGAGAGCGCAGCAGCAGCACCTGCTGTCGGCGACCGCCAAGGTGGTGAGCGTGTGCTCCCCCGATCGCCCGCGTCGCTAACACAGGAAGACGGGTCGGATTCATTCACAGCACCGGTGCCTGCTGGTACAATTGCGGGAAGTGCCAGTGCACTCGCGGCCGGCGAGGTCACGCAGAGAAAGGCTTCACGAAATGCTGCCGCACGGGGTCGTTCTGCAGCTCGAAGACAGAGCGCGCCTGCACGGAGGAACCAGGAAAACAGCGGTGGAGGGCATCCTACTGCCAGGCTCCGAGCTCAGGGTCGCAGAGATTACTACCCTTTGTCCGAGCAGTTTGCTGAATGCAGTGCCAACAAGGCAGAGTGCAGTGGCTCCAGCTCCCAGAGCGCAGCTTCCATGACGGACGCCCATCAGCATTCTGGGCTTCGAACGATTCCAGCATGGCGCACATCCGCAGGCACATTCGCTGAGCAGGAGCCGGCGGGTCCTGCAAGGAAGCTGTCAGTGGCCGCGCCAGCACAGGTGGCACACACTCCGATTTTGATGGCGAGCCAGGGCACAGGCGCAGGACTTTCGGCGAAAGAGTACCCGGGAAAGTTGATGTGCCGTCGAGCCTCCAAGCTGAAGGTGAAGACGGCAGATGGCGCTCACTTGTTTGGAATTGGAAGCGGCCGCGCTGACCAGCTGGAGAGATTTTTGGAGGTGATATCTCAGGCGGACAGTCGGTTTGCCAACAAGGACGTCAGGCTGTTGCAGTCTCGTCTTTGGGTGATGGACTGCAGACTGCAACAGCCAATTATGCAGCAACTACTGGCCCGAGATGTGCAGTACCAGCTGGCATTGATCCTGCAGCAGCCCGATGCATTCGACCTGCGCTTGCAAGCTGTCGAGAAATTCGACCGAGAACATGGCAGGCTGCCGAGGCAGCAGAGCAACCAGCTTGAGGAGAGAACTCTGGGACTGTGGCTACACAATGTTGGCTACAGGCAGAAGCAGCAGAAGCTTCCAGCCGAAAGGATGCAGAAGCTGGTGAACTCGTCATGTAGCAGGTTGCGGGGACGAGCCACACAGTGGCTGGAACCAGATGCCTCTTTTAAGGCGTGGTTAGAGGGGTTGCGGCAGTTCGTTCGTGCGCATCACCGCATGCCCAGCGCAGGCAAAAGGCGCCCAATGGCCGAGCGGCAGTTGCGGCTAAGCCTGCTGGACCTTGTGAATCCTTCCAACGGGAAAAACCAGAGGCGCTTGCAGCTGTTAGAGAAAGCCGACCCCATCGTTTCGGATTGGGTGAAGACCAGGCGAACACGGAAGCTCCGAGTCCAGAAGGCACAGTGGAATCGTCAGTTCGACAGGCTTCGTGACTTCGTGGAGGTGCATGGAAGGCTGCCGCAATCAAGGCTCGAAGGACGTCTCTATGATTGGATATGCAGGCAGCGGAGACAGTTGAACTACCTCCCGGCCGAGCTCCGGGCAAAATTGGTAGACAGTCATCCAGTGATCTCAGCTTTACTGCAGAGCTGAGTCGAGCTCTGCCGCTCGGGAAGTCCTGAAGGCGCGCAGCTTGGTGGCTACGGGAGAAGTCTTGAGGGAAGGGTAGCTTCGAGAAGGTTCGTGATGCCACTGAAAAGTTGGTTCCTGACTTTGGACCGATGCCGGAAAAGCGCAACACCGCTCCAGTAGCATAAGTTTCCTTTCTGAGGGTGCTTCAGGCCATGTGGCATTTGGGCTTCAGCAGAATCAGCGGTGCCTGGGGCCCGGGATAAGTGCAGAACACCCATGTTAATGTTTTATATCAGGTTCCCGTACTGGGACAGCTTTGCAGTTTTTGGTGTTGCCATCACAAAACTGGGCAAGTAAGATCGCCTTGCAAAGTGCGTGTGCCATCCGAAACTATTCGGATTTGTTGAGGGCAGGAAAGCATTAGTAATCATTAGTGCTCATTGGTGTTAGTGACCACTGATTGTGAATGTAGGCCCTGCTACGGTGATCGCTTTTTCCGAATCTCCGAGTCTCCTTGTGGTTATATGTGTCGGCGACGAAGCCAAAGCACAACCTTCCCGAACACATCTCCTATGTATGTACCCGCGGCTCGAAGGATTCAAGCGCTATGCCTTGGAGTCGTTGCATCGCTGCAGCTGAGCAGGTGGACATCGTCCACCCTAAACATTGCTGTAATCGACTATGGGTCGTCGAGTGTAGATGTTGAATCTTTTTGCCCTCCTCCAAAGCCGATAAGCCTCAAGCTTCAAATCGTACAAAGCCGGCGATGTACCACGCCGTCGGCTAGGGATATACGTACAGTGATTGCAGTGCGCCTCCAAACCGAGTTGCCGTCCATAAGCCCAACCCTAAAACCAGGCTGCGCTGCTGGAGACGTTGTGCCGCAGGCGGGAAAGGAAACGTCCGCAGCTGCACGGAATACCGCAGGGCTTGCCCTTGATTTCAAGACTCGTTCCAGTCGCAAATTAGGCGCGTTAATTTTTGTTTTTTCAATCCTCGTTTGTTTGGGAAACCTACTGTTCAGGTGTATAATCATTCTTTGCTTGGGAAACCTATAGTTTAGGCGCATACTGCGAAGTTAGCAACGCGCATGCTCCTCCTCAGAGCAAAATGGCCAGAGAGTAGGACTGAGTAGGAGTTTGCAGGGTACGACCACAGAATTTGTGATCTTGAGGTTGCGGCTTGAAGTTCAGGCGCTAAAAACGGACGGTCCCAGGTCCATCTTGGGCAATGGACCATTCAACGAAGTATCAATGGGGCAGCTTGCCACGGCACAGACGGAGCAATGCCCCACGAACAGGTGACCCGAGACTGTCTCCTGTCAGCCACTTTGGCTTTTAGCCCGTTGTTTGCGAGCCTGACTGTGGCATATGTGCTGAGATTCCAAGCAAGAGGTTGCTACATCCATGTCATGAACTGCCCCAGCCAACTGGCCAACTGATCATTCTCTTTCAACCCTGAATCGTGGCTTTCGTTTTTGATGTCCATGGCCTTGGCCATCCATCCATGACATCATGACACCGTGGACGCTGTCTACTTTGTCGCGTTCTGCTTGAGGAGGCCCTAGGGAGCCCAAAAGCCTAGATATGTGCCTTAAGCTTCCATGCCGGACCCTCAACCCTTAGGAACAGAGGTATTGAATAGTTTCTGTGTGATAGCGGCCGTTGTGCCTGGCCGCATATGCAGAGTCGTTCTTCCGATTGCTGTGTGCAGGTGTGGCCTGTCTAGGTGCAGCGATGAGAACAGTGCGGAGCAGAACGGGTAGTTGCGTGTTGGGGGTCAAGGCTGCTTGGTTCTTGATCTTGGGCGATGGATCTGTCATGTGACCTTCGTGCGCTGCATCTGATGAAGCAATGGCAAACCCGCAAGGTCGGATACGCATTGATACTATATGCATAGTGTCCCCTCCTAGCTTTGCACCCTCCAAATATCCAAAACAAAACCCAGCCCCTGAACACCTCATGAAACCCAAACTCTGATGCCCTGATCCTTAGCTCCAAAGTGTGCCCATGCGGCAGGCTGTGGCATGGTCCAGCTTTGCCGGCAGCATCTTCTCGTGGGCCTTCCTGTGGCCTCTGGGCTGCTTCAGGAGCCTGTATCGTAAACAGATCTACTTCGGGTACGAATGTCCCTGCAACCGTGGGTGCTTTAGTTGTCATGCTTCTTGTGATTCTGTTTCGCTTGACGTTGGGGTGTGCAGGGTTTTTGTGTTGGCAATAGTCACGAACGTCTAGTGTTTTAGGAATCAATGTGCTTGAGAACATGATGGGGGCCCTCTCTACAGAGCCACCGAGTGTGGGGGTTCCAGGCTGGGCACCACCATTCTACCAAAGCTGCGGCAATTGTCAACATTTTTGGCCACAACTTTCATTCGTAAGGCTCTTGATCAAGATTTGGCTTTCATTTTGGATCCGGACTTTCCATGAAAACGCTGAAAACGTTCCTTGCCTCTGCCGGGTGGCTAGCAATACTGTAACTCTACAACCCTCCTGCTGGCACTTGTTGTAGTATTCCATTTCGCTCCGAATGTTGGTTTTGACTGTTCAGATCTTGTATTATCCAAGAGCAAGGTTTCGCCGGTGGTATTGGTTTCAGGCTTCAGACTCTAGAGCCACGACAGTGCGCTTTCTTGATGTAAAAAACTTGTAGAGTTTCTAGCCCCTGGCAAGCCTAAACATGAAAGTCGCCGACAGTTGCAGTGAACTCATTGTGCAGTGACCGTTCTGGGTGTCTGGGTGATTTCGGTCCGTTGTGCCCCGCCGCCTAGCACCTGCTCACATGGAGTATTCAAACAAACCCAGACCCGAAACCTTTAGCCTTTGCTTGCCCCGAGAACCTTACATCCTGAACGAGCTAGTTTCGAGTTTGCATGAGGTGCTTGGCGTTTGCCTGCACCTGAGCTTGGCTGCCCGCGCCGCTTCCTGGGAGGCAACCCTGCCCAACCCTAAACCCCTGCCTGGCTGTCCCTAGTTGTGAGTTCTGAACCCTAAACCCTGCACCCCCTACACCTTGTGCTTCATGGAGATAGGCTCGGAGATAGGGCTTCCTTGCAGCATTGCCCACCCACATCACAGCGTGTGTCAACCCGATGGGACCCACCACGAAAGATTCTCGAGAGGATGAGCCGCAGCAGGGCCGACCAAAGTCTGACAGCGACAGGGAGACCTGGGGCGACCCTTGGCATCGCAGGGGATCCTCTGAACGAACACGGTTTTCAGGCTGTCGAAGGAGTCTGACAAGGCCTTGTAAGGTTTGACTGGATGTCGATCAGGTTCGGCGAGGTTCTATGGACAGGTTTAGTTGATGAATCGATCTCCCCCCTCCTTCGCACCATGAACCCCCCACAAGTGTTTTCAGCCTGCAGCTGTTGCTGAGATGCTTCCTTCATCCCCGGAGCCTTCAAGCTGTCGGCATCGAGCTGAGAGCCGAATTATTTTGCAAGTCCGGACAACCACGAACTCCTTAGTCCCAGACCCCTGCAGCCCTAGGGCCCGGATTGAAAAAGATGACCCCAAAACGCCCCCCGAGCGAACGAGCGCATGGCTCGAGCGTATCTCGCAGCGGCAAATAATCTGCGGTCACATGCAGCCAAGCAATCCCTAGCGTATCAGCAATCGGGTTTCCTTGCCGTGAATACAAAAGTAGCAGGGACCGCTTAGCGTTCGCACATAGGCCAAAGAGGACATGCAGCAGAGTGCTGGACCAGCTTCAATTCAGCTGAGGACTTCTTCGGTGATCTGAACGATCTCCTGCGGAAGCTCAGTCGCTCTAGACAAGTGGTGCATATGTAGGGGTCGGCACACACGGGCCCAGTTGGGGACAGCGTCTTTCGGATAGAAAGACTGAAAGACTCCCCATCTTGTTCCTTTATCGGTGCTTTATGATATGAACGTACCCCGCGCAGTATTCCGGGAATGCTACCGCTGCTATTGCCGCCATGCTTCCCCGAGCGGCTTGAACGGTTTGCAAGTTGCAAGGCTCTAACTCTATAACTTGCAGGGGTATGGCTCGGCATTTAGGGTTTGAAGTTAAGATGACATGCTTTGAGGCTTGAGGGTGAGAGGTCCGGATGCTCCATCGCTTCAGACCTGGTGTACTGGATGCCTAAATATGCATACCTTGAATCATGTGTTCCATTATGCAGCGGCATGCAGCTCTCTGAGTACTGTATGCTAAAGGACTCTGGATCTGGTCTGGTTCTTGGTGGCCGCCACGATCGCCCTCGCTCTCGAGCCCTGGCCGCACGCGGTGCGAAGCCTCAGGACTCAGGCCTCAGGTGACATTGAGCCTCAAGTCCACCCTTCAGCCTCAAAGTGAAAAGTCCATTTTGGAGCTCGAATTCCACAGCTGTCCAACCCCGGGCCTCCGAATGGGCCTTGCCAGGCATGCTGGCAGCCTTCACAGATTGTTGGTGACACCTCGCAAGTCGGTTGCTCGGCTCAGGTTGGAAGCCACTTCTCATTGTCAGGATGTCACGAAAAAAGATTCGTAGCTTCGATTGAAGTGTTGCTAGTCTGGTCAGTCTGGTCATGGCGAGGCCAGCGATCTTGATTGAAGGTGTCTCACGCCACTCAAAGGTCTATCTGCTGTCTGTGCGATCGTGGTGATCGTGCAGCGGTTGACCGACCAAACCTGTTGATCAGCAGAAGATAGCAGAAGGGTGGCGGCAGGGACTCGGGAAGGCACTCCGGAAGGCCAGTGAGACGGGTACGCCTGCGACATCTAGAAGAGTGTGCTGCACGAGTCGTCATTGCCCGTGGATGTATAGAGCTAGGCATATCGCAGATATGTCCTTGGATGACCCCTGGTTGGTAAGGATCTGATGGTGTCAAGTGGACGCCACCGCCGTGGTACACCTTGACCACGATCTTCGCATCGCTCTCCAGCCACGCAGCCGGCATCCTCGGCTTCGTGGGCTTCCAGAAGATCGTGGTGGCCAGGCAATTGGGAGGTTTGTTTTCGGCAGTCCCGAACAACTCATAATGCTTTCCCCTAGAGTTCCCTCACATTGTCATCAGAAGATAAAAAGCCTTCCATAGCCCTGGAAGCAGTGTAATTCCCCAGACCTTTATTCAATATTGCATAACAAGCCCGTCTTTGTGGCTCCTTGCCAGGATCGTGTCCACAAGCCAGCCGAGGGCCAACTGGTCGGCACCTAATTTCCTCCTCCTCACCAGCATCCTCATCTCCATCACGGCCATCTTTTCAAGCCTCGTGTGCCTGGGTCTTATTCTTTGGTTTTGCCGGGCGATTGTACCTGTTTGGGTATGCAGCCTGTGTACTTGGAGGCTGCGGCCTCAATCTCGACAGCACTTTCAAACTTTCGGTCGAGAAATGCTTCGGTTTCAGAACTGACACTTACTTGCTCTGGTATTATGTCTTGTGACCAGGTTCATGGGCGTGGACTACTTGCGCCGCCTGGCGATCGACAGTGCGCGGAGCCGGGGATACCGTCTGGTTGTCACGCACGGCAAGCTGGAGCGCACAGGCCGGGAGGTTTGGGTATACAGGACAAAAGTTTACATCGGCGTCCCGTAGCAATCTTACCAAAGATCATGTTTGCATGGGGTTTGCAAGTAGCATTCTCGTATAAGCGGTATCCTGCGAGTTGGAGGATTTTGAGCACTTGCATCAGTGCAAAATCATGGGTCATAGGCATTAGTGTAAAATCATAGGCATGCAAGGTTTTATATGTATAGTTTATTCTGCTATCAGTAGACTTTCGAAGCATTAGCGCTGCCGGGTTGACATCTGCAAAAAATATATGGCTTCTGTTGTCGGCATTGTATTTGTTTTTTGCGTAAGCCAGTTCTGTAATCAATAGCTTCGGCCGCAGATCAATACCCCCTCTGCAGCCGGACATCCATAGTAACCATCTCTTGTATTGCGGTGTCTCCGAATGGGAGATCCTCATGTCTAAGCAGTGCTCATCTGAAGCCAGCTGCATGTGCAACCTGCTTCCGTGATTAGTTATTTGCTAGGAGTGTTTTTTGTTAATACCCGAAGTACTACTATACAAGCATTGCTACTTGGTTTTTCGCTCGTGTCACCTACACTCACATTCCTCGTCCTGTGCGCAGCCTGTGTCTTTCAAGAATCCGAGTAACCTTTTGCAGCACCAGGGGTGTGGATTTTGGTTTGATTTGTACAGATCATTAGCCAAGGGTTCCCATGGATGCCACAAAAGAAGAAGATTGAGTATGAATGCTGACTGGCGAAACCACAGCCACACGAACACAAACAGCCATGAGCATTTCCTGCCATGTAGTTAGGAGTGCCGAAACGACAAGATCTGTCAGCTTTTGCCCTGAAGCTTGAATCGCTCCGCACTTGGCGAAGCAATTGAAAGGCCAACTTGCAAGCCCGGATGTCAAACTTCCAGGCCAAACTTTCCTTTCTCGTCCCACTCGAGCAGCGAGTTGAGATAGGGGATGTTGGGATGTAGCCAAACAACATCAACATTTGGATGTTTCTACAGTAACCAGGATCGCACGTGGAACAAAAACCTAACCAAACCTCAAAATCGGAATCACCGTAGCTAGACACTTCCAACAATGCAGGGTCCTTTAAAGTATAAGATCCTCGAAGGCCTATGCAGCCGGTACCTTGAGTTTCCCCTCCCAATCGAGGGCTCGGGATGGCGCTGATCATGCTGACCTTTGTGCTGATCGCACTGCCGCTGGCCGCCACAATGCTGGGCTTAAGCCAGAGATTTTCCGGTAACTGCGGGGGTTTGACGATGGTCTGCTTCCTGCACCAAGCAACAAGCAGAACGTAACGAGGAGACTAGAAGCCTGAGGGTCGCAAGCTTTGAAGACAGGTCATTCCGTTCAAAGGTCAGAGTGTACTGCTTATGGGTTGGTGACATCTCTGACCGAATTGCCTTGCGCCCCTAGCCAAGTCTCTCGTTGGGGGTTGATCGTAACGGTAGCTTTAGTGGTTTCAGAATAAGATCTGAATAGCAACATACTACTTACTACCAATATGTCAGAGATGGGTGGACTGGCTGACAAATTGAGGTACATGCTCGTCATCTACACGGAGAGACAGAATTCGAAGAAACAGGACCGATGTCCTTGGGGTTCATCCTTGCTCCATGCGGGATGAGGTATGTGTGCAGGGAGAAGCTGTGCCTGCATCGGGATGACCTCCAATCCCAACCTGAAGTCCTGCCTTCACTACGTATTCTCCAGCGCCCCGTGCCAAAGCTGTAAGACGTGTAAACTATAAATTCTGAATTCGAGACCTCAAATCCCTTCCATAATCGTACTCGGACTGCAAGTTCACTCGCATGAAGCCTTCCCAGGAGGAATCTCCAGATTCGGCTGTCAACGACTCTCGTGACATGAAGGTCTTCTTGGACAAGGCCGCATTCGCATTGTTGCTTCGTGTGGAAGTGTAGGATGGCCATACAGTTCCCAGAGCACAACATCAATGGCACATTTTCAGCTGAAGCCTCAGAAGAATCAGATCGAGCGCCCGCTCACTTACTTATATCTGATGTGGCTAGCCAGGGTGCTCATGCAAGGGCGGCACGTGGAAGATGCACACATTTGTTTGAGCCGCCGGAACCGGCCCTAATCCCAGACATCACCCACAAGAAGCCCGACACGAACCCAAGACGAAGTCATAGTTTTTGCATGTTTTCACGAAGCTCGAATGTCAGAGGCCTGCAGCTGTGCCACGGTCCTCCTTTACTTCTTCAATCTTCGGAGCTTGTGCGAATCACCCAAGGCCAAGTTTGGGGTCTAGGGTTGGGTTCGAAGTGGAAAGCCTGTTGCAAAGGGTTGGGTTCGCAGCGCGGAGTGTTCGTTTTAGGCCCGGTGTAAGTACAGGGCGTTAGCTTTGGAAGCCAGGTTGTCAGTTTGTGGCCCAGATGACAAATCAAAACCCGCTTCTTCAAGCTGAAAAGGCCAGCTTGCGTACCTGCCTAAAGTAGGTACGGCCCTGGAAAGTGCCTCGTTCACGAATTTTCTATGGGGTCAAAAAATCGAGCCCGAGGAGCATACTGGCATACTGCCCCAACTCAGCGGAGAGAGCATGCCCACTGCAGCAGCCACTCTCCTCACTCGGCCTCAAGCCCGCCGAGCGACAGAATGAGCATGCTGCCCGTTACTGCCCTAAACCCTGAAATCGCCGAAACGCGATAGAATAATTCATGCGTGCTGGCGAAGGTGCAGTTCCACCAGACTGTCGCAAGTGCAGGGGAGCCTCTGGAGCAAATCAGCATCAAGGAGCTCCAGGGCCTGGTTTAAGTTTCGGGCTGAAGCTTCGGAGTTTAGGGCGAGCATCCTATGAGCTTCTGGGGCTGTGGGTTACTAGCACCTGTCCAGTGCAGAGTACACCTCAGAACCCCAAAGGATTTTTCAAGGTCTTCTCGGCGATGAGCTCTGTTCACACTATCCAAACGGTTGGCTGCGCTGTTCCTGCACGCTCAGATTGGAGGGGCCTTGCCCGGTGCATTGTCCGAAATGCACACAACCTCCGCGACAGGACTACTTGACGAAGTTCTGCATCCGCCGTGATGAAAGGTGGGCTGTTTGAACAGACATTGCTATCATAGTATTGGTAAGAGAGTCAGGCAGTAAAGGGGCATCACATGAACAAACGGAGCAGATGCGGTGATCAAACTGTACTTCTGGACTCCTCTTTCATCTCCGAGCTTCCTCTTGTACGGGTCCCCTTTTGGGTTTCTTTATGACTTTTTGCCAAGGGTCTGCAATCCACATACCTTTCTTGGTCGATCCCCCTCATCACTTCTTATCTGCAGACTGCTAACTTTGAGACTATCGATAGAGAAGCCTTCTTGAGCACTCGAGGTCGAACGTCCGGAGTTGTCTGGCCTGTCTTGCGCACTGCTTGGCCGGGGAGGACCGCCTGTCCTCCAACGGTCGAAAGCCTTAAACTCCTCAGCAATCTTAACTGATAGGTACCGATACGTTCAGCAACAGTAATCAGAAGTCCTTTTTTCCGATGCGCATTCATGCATACGCATGCATTCGGCGCCCACCTTACAAACACATCCATGCATCCGTAAATACACGTGGGCCGCGTACATACACATGGGCAGAGCCGGCCAGAATCAGAGACCGGACATTGCGTAAACACGGGAAAGACGATCAATTGGGCTTTGAACCGGCGTCGAATTCCCTCACTAGAGCGTGTTCACAGTGTGATAAAGGTGATGATGCATGTGCAGCCACTGAGACTTGACGAGGACCATGTAAGACCATGTAAGGCACGTTTGAGATTTCCTTCCAAAGCTACCCTAAACAGCGGTCACTGTCCAGCTTGTAATCTCGCTGTAGTGAGGGTTCCATATGGGCTGGCCTCTGGTTGCCCTGGGTTCCGTGGTGCAAGGAAGAGTTTATGAGCAGGCATCGACTTCTGGACATACAGAATGAGATCAGCAACAGGAGTTTTAAGACACACCCAGCCCCCCAGTTCATTCGGCTTCTCCCACAACTGTTCATGTGACTTATACATGAATGTCATGCGGGCACAATGATGCACCACCACACCAATGTATCGCATTTCTGTCATGCGAAGTTTTTAACAACTACTTCGAAGAGAACCGCAGAGTGCCGCATGAAAAGCCAACCAATTTTCAAAGATTCCGCCTCGCAATCGAATTCGGGCGAATTCTGCGAGTTGGAGTGGTCCCACGGTTGCCTGCCCACAGGACATCGGCATCTTGGTCAAGATGGGCACGCGGCGTGCTTTATTCCCGAATCAGCGCTTCGCGCCGCTGCTGAACATCGTAGCCTGGTTTGCACAGAAATGTCCGAACCTGACTGGCATAGCAGCCTTATGGCTACCGTAGTAGCCAACGTCGTCATAACATCATTTTCCTTCGTCCTGGAGAACCATTGTCCGCTTGTTGCCTTCAGGCATGTTTTGATCATGCAGGCCCTTGGCCTAGAGGTGTATCATTTATACGCACATGAAGAAGGCGCAGGCAGGTCAGTGATAAAAGATCTATACAAGATCCATGTGGTGGCTCACCCGCTTTGATGTCGAGACCTCCTCTTGCTTACTGCATCCTGCGACCTTTTTTTTGCGACTGGACCTACACTTACGATCTCTTTTCGAAACCTGTCTGATGACATCCTCTTAGACTCTTGCGACCTCCGTGTTTTTGCCAGCAAAACCCTGACCTTAAAAAATCTCGAAGTATGGTATGACCTGCGACGACAAGTATGGACGAGGATGGAGGCCCTCAAGGCGCGCGATGCTTGCGCGACTCTCGCGAATGGCGGACTCCTGCAGACCCTTTGGGAATGCAAAGGTGCGAGATCACACTCACTCCTGATCCAGACGGCCAACCTTCGACCTCGAATCCCTCCGCAAAGCATTCGGGCAACGTATGATACGGGTTGAGCACATTTGTTTTAGTCCAGATGGTCCCGGCTCAAAATTCCGAGGGCTCGCAAGGCCAAGTATGTAGCGAGGGTTGGCTTTTGCAGAAAGCACTGTGCAACAAAGGGACCGAAAAAGCACATCTTTAGAATTTAGATTATATGATAACACATTAAATAATCCTTAATATTTATACAGTGCAAAACATATTGTATCACGTATGCGCTAATGCTCAACCTCTATTTTGTAAATTGAAACATATGAAATATAGTATGCAAAAGAAGATTATGCAATACAGGCAATACATACATAACTAACAGCATATAGAATACAATAAATATCCTTCGGTATAAACACAGTTTAAAGCATGTGTATATATATATATATGTCATACAACACACATTATACAGTGTAAAGTGGAAATGACATGACCTATAGCATGTATATTCATATGTATGACATAGAGCAAAAATAGATAGCAAATGTTGTATAATGTTTATATCATTTAAATCTTGAGTTGTTTATCATTTATCTTGAGTTGTTTATCATGTACCACATGCGATATTATGTATAGTGTACAAGATGGTGTGTACAACATGCAATACTAAACAGTTACCATGCAATACATTATACCATGAGTACATATATATATATATGTCTTGGTATAGAATGCTCATCATGCAATATGTACAGTATCTCTCTCTGTACATATATACATATACAGATAATACCGTTATAAATATATAAACACGGTAACATGTAATGTTATCTACTATAATATGGTATAAGCCAGTATAACATAATATAATATCATATAACAATATCATATCGTCATATAATTGTAATAGAGTATAGCATGATATAGCAAAGCATAACTTAAGATTTAACATACTTCACAGTCACTCACAGATGTGTATGTATACATGCTACCCCATACGTGTATACTATGTAAATTGTAACATGTACCGCTTGAGCATGCGCACACAGGCACGTATATATATATATATGTATATATATATATATATATTTGTATGTACATATATATAGTTATAATATCATGTGTTTGTATAATATAAACATATTTACGTCTAACATAATATAGTGTGAAGTATAATGTGTTATGGAAAATATAGTATACAACATGAGATACACAATGCATAATTTTGGCTTTAAGAATTTTCAACATAATACAGAACAAAGAACAACATATGGATTTCCAAGCCACACACACAAGAATGAGCAGGCATCAGACTCGCTCAGTCCTACACATTCACATCGACAATGCATGTTTCATGATGCGAAGCAAGATTTCAGTGACCCGCCAGCAACCAGAAAACTGTTCAGCGGATGAACTTTCAAGAGTTGTTGTATGCAGATGACACACATTTTCGCAACAAGCACACATTCGGCAAGGAAATTCTTGCGTATCAGTGAGAAGGGGTCACAGTATTTGCAGTTGAATCTACGCAGCGAAATGTACTCGTACATCTCATTCAGCTGCCACCGCAGTATACGGTTCAGTGATGTCGTGTGCATGAAACATCGACGGAAGAAACATTTACTTGCGAGTTTCAGGAACATTCAATCATGACCCACGACACGAAATTCGAGAATGCATATCTGCAACAATGCCAGTTTTGAAAAGAATGTCATTTTTTGCTAAAGGTTCAATGCATAGCGTATTATTGCGGTCATCACAGCCAAGTTGCCATATGTTCTAGAAACGCTTGAACCTACAAAGGCCGCGGCCAACTTGTTGAAGACTTTCCAGCCTAAAGCTTTGAGGAAAACTCTTCGACTACCTTCTACCTTCATTCAACGGAACAACACCAATCAACATGTGTACAAACGTGCGAGTCAGGAAATCAATGCACGAACCAATTGACCGAACCGGGAAGTGAAGCCTCTTGCAGAAATTTCGGAAGGTAGAAAATTAGAAATGTTTTGTCGAATGCGGTGGGGGCCAAGACAGAATTTAGTACATCAGCCACTTGTGCCATTATTTCCGCTATTCCAAAAGATACAGGGTTTTCAAAAAGTCAGCAGACCACGGCGGTCTTGGACTGCAAGTAACATGGATAAGGCTTGGTCAGAGATGAAGGAGTTAGATTCCAGGACATCAAGCATACCGTTCGACAAGCACAACGCAGACATCAGGAAACGATTTGTTGAAGAAACTCAGTTATTCAAACCCCCTTTCGGGTAAATAAATACACCGGTTGAAAAGCAGTCTCAGTGTGAACCACTCCGATATGTGGGAACAGTTCTCAGTGTGAAGCCTGATCTCAAGGAGGTGGAGTGCTAGATAGTCCTGATGATATCGATGTCATTGTGAAGCCCAGTGTGAAGCCTGAAACTTGATCCCAAGTGGGACAGTCAGAAACAAGTTTTGGCTAAGCAAGATTCGAGAACATATCAACAGCGAGCCCTTCCCCGCAGGTAGATAGTGGCCAGAAGCAATTTAGCGCCTACGTTTCAAGGCACAGACCAGGCTTTGAGTGTAGGGTTATGAAAACACAATACACTACATCATATCATGTTGTAATGTAGTTAAATGTAACATATTTTGTAATTTTGTATAGTGTAATGGAATATACGTAGTGAAAACTTTCATGCGATATAGTTTGATATAGTACAGTTTTATATAATGGAATGAGACATTGGAGCGTGTATGACTCCTATGACTTTACATTTTACCAAACCATTACCCTGTAATACAAGTCTATAGAATAGAATTTATACAGTTTAAATAAACATAACATAGTACAGTACGATACCATGCAACATAACAAGATACTGCAATAAATGAACACGTAATGCTATAAAATATGAAAATAGAAGCTTACAACAGAGTGAAGTATAAACATGCTGTAATGTAAAAGTAATATACAACTTTCGAGTAAACAGAATATGATGCATTATAAAAGAATACAACACATATGTAGCGTATTCATAAAACAGTATAAAGCAATGTAACACAGTATAATGTAATACAACATAGGATAGACAAGTTCAATAGAATACCATATATTGCGCTGTTATCGTAATATAGCCTTTTTTTACAATATATTATACTCTTTAACAACATGATATAATACAATAAAAAATTCTTACATCATGTAATGTAATGCAACACGGTATCATATTGTATCATATACTACGATGTAATGTAATGCAAACTAACACCACCTAATATGAAACAATATATATATATAGTACACTATAATGCAATATAGCATAACATTACTTAATACAACATCATGTAACGTAGTTTTAACATAGTACTACCTAGTATAACAGAATACAACATAATACGGCATGCTATGGTATAGTACAATATGGTATAGTCTAGTATTACCTAGTATGGTATGGTCTAGCCTGGTAGCATGCTATGGTATAGTATGGTATATGTATAGTATAATATAGTATAGTTTAATATAGTAGAGTTCACTTTAGTGTAGTCTATTACAGCATTATATATATATGTATATGACGATATGGTGTGATGTAACATAGCAAGAAACTAACCTTATCTAATATGAGTACAAGGTTGTCAAATATACAGATACATGTACTTATATTATATTTGTATATCCATGTACACATACAACAATACATACATACATACATACTCCGGCCGCTAGATTCAGGCTGATGAATTTAGTGTCGGAGCCTGGCCGAACATTTCTGCTGTGCTTGCATATAGTGAATGCCTCGTATTGGGCTTGCTGGGTTTGGGGTCGCGGGGCTAGGGGCAAAGTTTTAGATAGTTTAAACAGAGAGAGATACAGGGTTTCGGACCTTTGCATCCATGGTTGCTCGCCTTGGTTCTGTCACTGTACGACTCCATGGCATCATTGCAATACTTTGGGCCGGTGCCGTGTTGCCCACAACTTAAAGCTACCTTCCCTTGCCGATGTTGTCCTATCTGGCCGAGGTCGGTATTGTGATGCTCTTTGGCCTGCTGCCTGGCATTTTTCAGATTGCTACCGAACGGCTCTTCGTCGACCCACAGATTCTGGAAGTGAGTCTCGGCCGAATGCATTGGATCGAGTGGAGAGCTGGAGGGCCAAGCCGGGATTGTGCAGGTCTGACTGGCACAAGGGTTCCAGGCTGGGTTGCCCAGGGCTTTGAGATCTCTTGAGGCTGCAAACATTAAATCAGGCCGCATGCTTTACTTTCACTTGGTCATTCGGTATGCCAGCGAGTTGGACATGTCAGCCGTGGTCATGCTTTCGTGAGTCTAGTGCAGAGGGAGGGGAGAACGAACTGCCACCATCATTCCTTTCCAAGGAGGGCGATCTCGGCGGACTTGTTGCCTGCTTTCGATGCCGAAAGTGGTCGCGGCAAGTATGTGTTGCTGTTGGGCAAGGAGCCTCGTCTCCACGTGAAGACCAGGGCCGCGCAAACCTCGAAGCTTGGTTTGCAGTGGAAAGTAGCATATATGGCGTGCCAGTGGCACATCAGCCCATAAGGGTGGCTCTTGAGATTTTGCCCAGATCGTTTTCATGCAAGGAGTATCGAGATCTGTTGCGAGACGGGTCCAGACACCTCAAAGAACTGCACGGCTCACCCCCTTCAGCACTCACTGATCCAATTCGACGAGAAGCCTGCCATCCTCAAGATTCCGGTCGTGGCATCCACAAGGTGCAGTCTGACCGCTCGAGGCTGGCTCTGTGGTTCGTCCTAGGCCCTAGGCTGCGCGCTCGTTGAAGAAATGGCATTGGCGTACTCAGGACTTCCCGATACCAATGGGAATCCACATAAATTTTCCCTCGAGAGTCGGTCAGCATGCTGTTCCGAGTCGTTTTCCAAGCGTTGTTAATTGTGACAGGGTCTTCGGAGCGCTTGCCTGCGAGGCTTGAGCAAGAAGTCATCTACAACCTTAGACTTGATGGTGGAGGTCAAGACGATCAAGCACGTGTGTGGCTGTCACAAAAACAGATGCAGCTGCTGTGATGGTTATGAGGGCGAACTCGATGCTGGAGCAGAGGACGCACACACCATGTTGGCGAAAGACTTCTGCACTCCGGTGCCTTGTGCCGTTAAGAATTCGAACCGGGAGCCAGGTCCGCTGTGCAACTGCAGCAATGGCTATGTTGGGGACATTGTCTGGGAGGGTGCCAATGTCAGTGGCACTTGTACTCCTGCTCCATGCTCTATTGAAGACTCAAACAGGAAGCCCGGGCTCCAGTGCCAGTGTAAGAATGGATTCGAAGGTGAGATTCAGTGGGACCAATCAATTGCATCTGGTGAATGTCTGCTTGCCCACTGTGGCATTCCGAACTCCATTGGCAAGGGACCGGATTGCAAGTGCATGGACGGCTACGACGGCAACATAACCTGGAACCGTTCACATCCTCATGGGGCATGTGAACCGGCGGCAGGCTGTGGAGAGAGTATTGCAAACAGTGAGGGCAAGGGAAACCAATGCAAGTGCAAACGTGGCTTCACAGGTAACATTCGATGGCACGGCTCGGTGCCTCAAGGAAGCTGTCAAGCAGCAGTGTGCCGCATACAGAACTCCAACCAGCAACCTGGCCTGGACTGCAAATGTAGGGATGGCTATCTGGGTGACATAGTGTGGCAAGGAGACCGTGTCAGCGGCACTTGTACACCGGCGCCCTGCGTGATCAAGAACTCCAACCGACTGCCCGGCCAAGAGTGCGCCTGCCTGGATGGGTTTGCAGGCGAGATCACTTGGAAAGGCAGAAATCCACGGGGACGGTGTGAACGCGCATCATGTGCAAACGTTGCCAATACAACAGGTAGCGGCCCAACCTGCAGGTGCAGCAATGGTTATGACGGGACTGTGACTTGGTTGGGTGCCAATGCTTCGGGCAGCTGCAAGCCCGCAGCCTGTACAATTCCAAACTCAAACATGCAGGACGGGCCCGCATGCAAGTGCCTCGAGGGGTTCGAGGGTTCCATTACGTGGTGGGAGAAAAATGCATATGGCAGCTGCCAGCCGCTGGCGTGCACTGGGTCTCATTCGACTGGCAAAGAGGGCTCTAGTTGTGGTTGTACGGATGGGTTCTTCATGAATGGATCCAAGGAGGTGCTCATTGGCCAATCGCATCAACCCACCTACGGCTACGCCAGGCCGCGAAAAGCTGTTGAAGTCAAATGTCTACCTGCTGCATGCACCATAGAGCATTCAAACGGGAAGCCAGGCCAAGACTGCGCTTGCCTGGATGCGTATCTGGGGCACATCTCATGGGAAGGTCCAGTTCCGAGTGGTCATTGTAGGCCATCCCCTTGCGGTCCACATCGGGTTCCAAACTCTAATGGCAAGCCAGGGTTGGAGTGCAAGTGTTCAGACGGTTTCTCTGGCCAGATCACATGGAGAAGTGGATACGAATCCGGCAGCTGCGTGCCGGCTTCGTGCAACATACCCAACTCCAATCGCAAGCCGGGGCAGGCATGCGAGTGTGAGGACGGTTTTATTGGAGAGATTGTGTGGAGAGAAGACGTGCCCAGTGGGAGCTGCAAGCCCGCACCCTGCAATATTCGGAACTCCAACCTCAAGCCTGGACCAGACTGTCGGTGCAAGGACGGTTTCCAAGGAGACATCACCTGGCATGGTCCATTAGCCGCTGGTGCGTGTGAGCCCGTGCCTTGCCGTGTTCTCCACTCTGACCATGCGCCGGGTCCGGCATGTCGGTGCTTGCACGGCTTCTTTGGCAGCATTGTATGGAGTGGCGTTGCAACGTCTGGAGGGTGTGAGCCCCGGCCGCTGTGTGGGTCTGAAGAGGAGGCGGCTTTGCATGTGACCCGACTGACCGCAGGCCTTGTAGATGGCAACAACAACACCTGCACAGCCGGCCAAGCCATGCTGGTCCATGGCCATGCAGTACCGGTACACAGTAGTTTCACCAAGTTTGTACTCAGATGGACTTCCGCACATGCGCTGCCACCTGCCAAGTGCAAGGTGGATTGGCCTGAAGCGCGACATGCAGTACCATTCAACAATCCTGACCCAAAGCACTTCAGCCTGACAAGTTGGTGCGCAACGACACCTGGGCTACCACTCTGCTCTTCGCAGATCATCTACACCGTGACCACTCGCGGTGCGTCTCATTATGCCTGTGATGCTTGCAAAACGTCAGAGCATGTCCTGACCGAATTTAGAGGCAGCCGCTGCGGATATGACCTCATCAAATGGGAGTCCCTGACCATTTCGCCTGGATCGCCCGATGCCTGCACATGCAATCTGTCTTTGAGCTGCAGTAAAGTACCGTCGGAAGAGCTTCCGAGAGCTTGCATTCATTTCGCGGAGCCTGCGGTTCTGAGCTATAGCAAGCGCGACGAGGATGATGAGGAGAAAGATTCCGATGCCTTCCTTATCTTTTACGAGACCGGAGAGCAGTTGTTTTCTAGCACGGAGCTCAGTCTTTTGCACCCGCCTCATGCCATCAGGAGGTCGTCGTATGATGTCTGATCCAGGCTCCGCCAACCTGTAACAGTTCGTAGGACCAGACACCTGCGGCAAGCCTACACGTCCAATGCTGAAGTGGCATACATGGTAGGACGATGAAACATGGACTTGATGAGACTTGCAAAGGCAAGATTTGCATCTTCACCTGGAGGCTTTCTGACATAGACGTTTCCTGGAGGTCTATAAAAAGGGGAGGGGTCAACCACAGAATAAAAAGGGTCTGTCTAGTCTGGAGTTCCCAAAACGAGGGTCGGAGCAGGCCCTTTCCAGCCGTCACATGCTTTCTGGGGCCTCGCTCAGGCTAACACGATACAGAGGTCGGCTCAGGCCCTTTCCAATCTTCTACAGGTTTGCTAAGGGTTGGCACACCCATTATAGCACTGTGCTGGCTTCCGCAGTAGGTGCCGACCCCTTTTTAGCAGCAGAATATGAACGCATGACTGCGCCTCCGCTACCCTCCTGAGGATCGATCTACAAGGACGTAGGTAAACGTGGCGTGTGCGGCGGACTGTGGAAGCAGCTTTCCCCCCGCACGGGACTGTGACAGCGCGCAGGGGTTGTGGCGGCAGCACCTTTGCTCCCGAATTTCCTAATGTTTTCTCATGCTGTTGAAATTGTGTTCACGCCACAGCACCCCTTGTATCCCGGCCCGGTAGGACTGGAAGGTCTTGGGGCCGAAAGTATCCGATCCTAGCGCTTTTATCCTGCGCACTGGTCCGGTCTGACCTTTCCCGGTGGGGTAGTCTGCGGCGGGGTAGGATGGGATATGGCCGCCGCATACACGAAACCCTCACCCAACCTGTGTGCATTTGTGCTTGTATCAGGTCCCAGCAGTTCGCCTGTTCAGGTATTGCAGATGTTCACAGCTTCACCCCGCCGGCCCTCCCCAGATGGAGTAAGTGACGGTGCATGGATGTCTGGCGGCTGCCAGCCTTTCTCTTGAATTGGTTACGGCGGAGGTTTCCTAGACAGGGACGGACGGGGGGGCGGGGGGGCATGTGCCCCGCCTTCCACAACTGTGATGAATGTGCAGCCAAAATGGTCCGCCCATGCCTGACATCAGGTGCATTACAGGTAAAGCTGAGGCTTCGGCAGTGGCAGAAAGAAAGAAAGAGAG